GCACAGAACCAAGATGCTTTTCATACTGTATCAATGACAAACAATAACAGTAACAACAGCTTTTTGATAAGTTTAAAGTTTCTTTAAAATATAATAAAAATATTTTAAAAATAAATTACAAAAATTAATTTGATAAAGTGCAAATTAAAATATAGTTGTATCTGCAACTGTATTTGATAATGTTTTGAACTTTTAAAATATTGCATGGTAAAACCAGAGGCTGCACTTCATATTAGTGACAAACTTTGACCCTTTTTGATAACTTACCTTCTTTTTTGCTTCTACGTTTAATTTAAAATAGGTTTCCATTCTCYGCAGGTTTCTAAGGTTCTTCTTCTACATATTAAAAAAAGTTGTTAAACATCTGAGTGGTGCACTACTGATACTAGTGGTGAGAAAGTGTAATGCACCTTATTCAAAATCAATGCGGTCCCACGGTCTTCTGTGGCCCAAAGTTAAAAACTGTTGTTCTTTTGAGGCCCTCAAGATGGCACTTGAGCCCACAATTGGGCCATGGCCCATGGGTTAAGAAACTCTGTTCTAAAGCACAGATGTCACAAATATTTTGGCGGAAGCTAAATAGATCTGCAAAACTGATTCAGTTCACCAGAACACATATTTCCAGTAATAACAGGAGCCATTCTTGAACAATGTTGCAATCTAGTGACAGGATCTGTTGCTTTCAACCTATACCACATTTTGTCGCGGTTTGAGGAGGTGTTTTATAGAAAGAGACGTCTGACTCATGGTGTTATTGTTAAAATAAAATGTTGTTGTGGACTGCAAGTTCTGCTGCTTCTTTGTCATTTTTCTTATGTTTATGGTAGGGCTTCGGTAAGAAAGCATACAATATATTAGTTATTTCAAACTGTTTTTTGGAGAACTGAAGCGATGCATTCTGGGTAAAGGACCAGTAAAGGAACCCGACGGTCATCACTTCAAAATAAGAGCCTGAATTTAAACTGTGCCGTGTGCTGCTTCAACTATGATGTGAGACAGTGGGTTGATGGATGAAGATGCAGCGTGTCATAAATTATTATAATTCCTCCCTCTACCCTCTCAATGCTCAAACAAGTATCTAAACAACAATAATTATGGTGGATTGTTGGGGAAACTTTTATTTATTTTTTGTTAATGGTGGTTCTAGAAAAAAGACGTGAAAATCATGTGAATAGGAATAAACCAGCTGTTGATCTAGCTAGCTCTTTTAACAACTGGCCTCAGAAAAATAAATCATTTTAAACAAATAACAGGAATTAAAAGCTGCTGATGCCTTCTCAAGTGTCCCTCGCTCTGTGTGTGTGTGTGTGTGTGTGTGTGTGTGTGTGTGTGTGTGTGTGTGTGTGT